CAGCATTCCCCATATCCATAAAGGTGGGTCACTCCCTCCCAGCGTCAGAAAGAGTTTTGAAAAGAAACAGGAGGAAAAGCAAATGGCAGGCAGGTGAGGCTCACAGCTGTATTAGAAACACTGGCTCAGTGTTTCTCAAGATGAGGTCAGATTAGCTGCATTCAAAGTATTTTTCAAAAATACAGATTCCAGGGCTTCCACCTTTAAAATCAGCTCTCTGGGGGATGGGCCAGAGAATCTTCATTTTTAACACCCTTGTCAGTAGATATTGATGTCCCCAAGTATCAAGAGCCTCTGACGCCATCCTCATCGCCACCAAACCATGTACAGTGGCCAGTCTGGCCCAGGCACAGTGGTCAGTGGGTCCCTGAAGGACTGGCCTGCTTCAGGCCTCACGTAGCATTTTGGCCGTAACCCTACAAGGGGAGCTGGGGAGACCCACACCCTCTGGTGTTAAAAACGTGCCTCAGTTTCAGCCTTAGGGGTCCCTGACTTCAGGTTGTTCCTTTTTAACCATAACTTTCCTGTAGTGCCAAAAAAGTGCCCACTCTGTTAAAAATTTCCTCCTTTCCATTCTTTTCAAAGAGGATCGTGATTTAAACCAGGAATGATTTCATATTCTAAATGTGCCTCTGTTAAGGGAATTAAGGGAAAAAAATGGAAAACAGATATGTGGCTAGGTTTGGACAAGGTTTGGGGGTACAGAAATTCTGCATATAATTCTTCCTGTGAGTATAGAGCATTAAGTGACATGTAGTCTTGAGTAAGCCATACGTTTTTCCTCCATGAGTTACAGTAAAATGAAAATTGATTTCTCTTTATATAACTGTATAGACGCAGAATAGATTACTAACTCTCACTCTAAGTCTGGTTTAGCGTATTCTAAAGAGTATTGAAGATTATTCCTCTGGTATTAAATAACGATGATGATGATGATGATACTGATAATAATACCTCGCCCAAGGCTACACAGACAGCAAGTGTCTTAGGCGGCAATTGAACCCTGATGTACCTGGCGTCAAGACCTCAGCTCTTGACACCGTCCCACACTGCTCTTTGACACAGAGGTCATGAACACAGTCACAGGAACATTGCTTACTACACCAGTGCTGCGTGCAGTTCCCTAGGCATGTCTTCAGGCCTCTGCAGAAGAGTGGCAAACCTGGAGCCCTGGAGTACAGCGCACGTATTCAAGGCACGGGTTGCGCTGCAGGCAGTCAGTCACCGAGGCGGCACAGGAGTCAGCAGACCAACTGGGGACAGTGAAGCAACTTAGAGATTTACAACCACCCTTCACTGCGAGGCAATGGGAGGACGAAAAGCTACCACAGGGAGCAGAGCATCGGTGAACGCTGGAACCTCAGAGAGCCACTCCACAAAGGGAACCCGGCCACTGCTGGGGAAGCGACCTGACGCAGAGAGAAACACCCTGGTTTCTCCCCTCCCGGTTCACACCGGTCTGCTGACAGTGCCTCCCATGGGCCAAACCCAGTCAGCAAACCCAGAAGCCTGGGAAACCATCTTTGCCGGGTGTTCCCCCTTCTGAACAGGGCAGAGTGGGGGAGGGGCGAGGACTGGCTCTGAGAGCAAACAGACCGAAACAGGTCATCCACACGGGATTCCGTTGTTCTTTTACAGAATAAGCATTTTAAGGCTCCTTTATACAGCAAACCTCTTCTTGCCTTTAGCTTAATTTGATTAACAAAAAAAGGGTTTTTGTAAAAAAAAAAAAAATCATACCTGACTTTAAAAACATCTGTTATGCAAGCAGGTATCTCTTTATACCTGTAACTCTCCGAATATTGGAAAACACAGAGAACATTATTATTATTTTTTTTTCCTTTTTGTCTTTTTTCGTGACCGGCAACGGATCGCAACCCTCAGTGTCGCCCCCGTACCGGACCGGGACTGGCCACGGGATCGCAACCCTCGGTGTTACCCCCGCCCCACGCTCAGCCAGTGAGCGGGAACCGGTCTGTATGTGGGATCCGAACCCTCGGCGGGAGCGCCACCGCGCTTCCCAAGCAACGCACTGTAGCAGTGCGCCACCAGGCCGGCCCTACAGAGAACATTATTGAACACCCCTTGCCAAGGGCCAGTAATCACATCTGCCAGGCCAATAACGAGGAGACGAGTCACCCGAAGGAAAGTGAAGCTAGCTGCAAATTGCATGGTCATCTGGCTAATATTTTTGGAAGACTAACTTACTGATACACTTTTGGGGTGGCCTTTTCACGACTGTATCTGGCATGAGGACCTGGCCAGCTTGTGCTGAGAGTGCTGGAGAGGGTGTTGGAGGCGTCTGGGACTCTGGGGGGAGTTTCAGCCCGTCGTCCTCCGGGGACTGACAGCTGCCACTTTCTGATTAAAGGGGAGCATTAGAGCGCCCTCTAGGGGAGAGCTGGCAAGAGGCGCGGTGGCCGACACCTCTCAAGTCTTTCACGCCCACGACAGGGCCACCAACGTCCCTTTTCTCCAAACACTCGAGGAGATGTGGCTTAAGTCTTACTAGATATTGCGTCAAAGGAGATTCGGTACAGATTATATTTTGTGTGTGTTGTTTCACATTCAGAGGAATTCCCAGAAAAACGACTCAGAAAGACGTGAGACAGCGGCAGAGCCGGCGGGTGTTAGTGCCTCAAGCTCAGCCCAGAACCTGACTTGAGGATTTTTTTTTTTAATCAGTTATTCCTGCATTTTTTAAGGAGGTGGCTAAGTAGGGTTATCCTGTGGTTAAGATCACAGACTTTGGAGTCTATTTTTCCTTTTATTTTTGTAAGTCTTCCCCCTTTTCTCCATCCTTACTGCCACTGCCCCCTCGCCCGCGCTTATTGGCATAGCCACTACCCGGGTCCCTGAGGCCTCCGTCACCTCCACGCTGCTGCCAGTGGGACCTGCGAAGCCATGAAGATCAGCCATGCTCGGAATCCTCCAATGGTTCCCCCAGCCTCTGGGATAACGTCCGAACGGCTCGCGGGATCATGTCTCATCTCTAAACCTCACCCTACCTGCCCTCCCACCTGGGGCCCCTCTTCTCCCACGGGCTGGTGCGTCCTGGGCACAGTCCCTGCAGGACAATGCAAGCCTCCCGGGCTGGGTGCGGTGCCCACCCGAGCACGTGCAATCGCTCCCCGCCGCTCCGCGTCCCCCGCACTGTCAGGCGTCGGGCTCTCCGAGGGGAGAGCGCGCGGGGCTGAGAACCTGCACACCTGGGTTCGAGTCCCGGCTCCTCCGCAGACGGGCTAGGGCACCCCGGGCAAGCGATTTCACCTCCCCGCGCCTGTGTCCTCGTCCTTAAGACGACACTTATTCCAGTTCGGGCCTGCTGTGAGCATTAAACAAAACAACGCCTGTTACGTGTCTGCTGCCAGTGCCTGGCTCGCAGCCGGGACTATAAATGAGTCCCCTTTCTGACCCCAATCTTGGCGAGCTGCTTCTCCTATTTCTACAGCAGCTCCTCCCTCTCTGAGTCCCCGAGGCCACGGGGGTGCCAACTGTGGAGCGCTGTGCCCGTTCTGACGCGATGTCTGCATCGGGTACCAGCGGTCCTTAAAGCAGCGCGGCGACTACGGGCACGGCCTGGAGAGGACAGTGCAGAGGGGGGAGGGAACCGAGGGGCCCTGGGAAGCAGGGGCTGGGTGGAGGGGCCGGTGGGGGGCGTTGGTCGGCCGAGGGAAAGCTGGCGCCCCACGGTACANCCCCCGGGACCCCTAAAGACTCCAGCCCGGGCGAGCAGCCCCGGCTCGTGCAGGCGGCGGAGGATGCGGAGCTGCTGCGGGAGATGGAGGAACTGCGCTCGGAGAACGACTATCTCAAGGTGAGCTCCCGGCTCGGCGGCAGGGGTCCCGGGCGCCCCCGAACGGTCTGGCCGTGGCGCGGACGAGCCCTTTCTCCCTCGTGCCCTCCACGTCCCGCCCGCGCGCATTAGGCGCTGCGAACTTCAGCCACAACTTCTGGAAGGCGCAGCACGCCCCGCGGGTCCCGGCCGGTTCTCAGCCCCCTCCGTGCTTGTGGCTTCTCTTCGCTGACGCCTGTGCTCTGGCTGACGTGCTGGGCAGGGGGCGAGCGTCGCTTGGACACCTCGGTCGGCCTCTTCTCCCCCCTTAGCACATGCCCCCACCTGTGGGGGCGGTTATCCGCCACCGAGGGGCCCTGGCCCGGCCACGTGCGGGTGTGTGTCGTTCGGGAACGCGCGGCGGGTGGCCCGGGCTGCGGAGGCGCCTGCCGCTTCTGCGGCTGCAGGAAGAGCCCGGGGCCCTCGGTGACCCCTCTGGGATCCGACAGCACGGGCAGAGCGGGCCCCGCGGGTGTCGGTGGTAAAGCTTAAGTTCAGGAGGGGTCCCTTGAGTGTGGCTGGGTCGAGGACGGCACGGTTTCGCCGGCCGGTGCCTTCTGAGCGTCACGAGCCGGCTTCTGTGTCAGGAGAGGCCAGGCCAGCACTTTCTAAGGAACCGCAGCCCCTGCCGCACTATCCCGAGTATTTTCCGGCGGGGCCTGCTAGCGGTGCTGGCCTCTGGGTCTTAGCTGTGGTCGCTTAGTCCAGCTCCATCTTTTCCTCGTGGAGGAGGGCTGGCCCCGCTGAATAGAGGGTTTAGACAGTGTTGGGGACTCAAGACAATCGAGGTGGCTTGAGATTCAATAAAGGGGGTTGTATCGAAGGCCACTGTTTTAATTTATCGTAATCCTCGGATTAGTATGTAACTCTGGCGTTAAGGTCTTGGTGGAAATCTTCCCAAACCAGCCGGTGGCCCTGCCTTCATCAGTGGGTAACGTGATTTGAGCTGTTTTCTCAGCAAATGAACCCACCCGATGGAGGCCCAGTTTGTGGCCAGTGGGACCGAGGATTGGGTTTTTTTAAGTGAATGATGGTGAAGTGTGAGTTCAGACTGGAATCTGAGCACGTTGGCTGCTGGGTGGTCCTAACCCAAGCCTTTATCAGGAAGCCGCTCCAGCCACTGAGCCCAGTATTTATTCTGCCTTCTGCAGAGAGGTGACAAAGGCAGAGGAAGAGAGAGGTGAAAAAAGAGCAGCCTGGGACTTGGGGGCGAGACGTGTCACACGGCACATTTGCTTTTGCCCTCCACTTATGTAACAGGGAACAGAGTGAAATTCAAACGTGTTGAAGATGTTGGGACTTAGGACACATCACCTCAAAATATGACTGTAGGAGACCAGAATATGCCACCCCAAAATATATTTCTTTGGCATATTTTGAGCTGGTTATTCTGAGAAACTTAACAGGAGTGGCTCTAAAAAGCTGTCCTTTTGCAAAAGAAATTTACATCTATAAAGAAAATCTACATTAGTATAGTAACTGTATCAGGAAGAGGGCTGCTCCAGACAACCCGTATTGCTTGAGAGACCTTATCTGCGTGACAAGACCACATTTATTCACCGCACCGTGACTCCCTTCTCCCAAAAGAAATTTACATCTATAAAGAAAATCTACATTAGTAAAGTAACTGTATCAGGCAGAGGGCTGCTCCAGACAACCCGTATTACTTGAGAGACCTTATCTGCGTGACAAGACCACATTTATTCACCGCACCGTGACTCCCTTCTCCCTCCCATAACTTGTGTTGCCCCCTTCCCTGAAATCCCCAAGCCCCCTTTGCTTTTCTGTGGCTCAGGATACTACATAAGCTTTAGTCACCTGATTCTTCTCAGTCTCATATTTTGTGGGACTCCTATGAGTAGGTACATAATTAAATATGGGTTTTCCCCTGTTAATCTGTTTTATGTCAGTTTAATTCATAGCCCAGCGGCAGAACCTAGAAGGGTGGAGGAAAGCCATTTTTCACTCTCTGGCAAAGAGAAAGGACAGCTATGTTGTTTGCAGGGCTTTCATGAAAGCAGCACTTTTGTAAATCCTAAACAAATGTAAGCTCCCCGAGGGTGAAATAGATAATCTTGTTCATTTCTGTAGCCCCAGCTCTTAGCATAATCCCTGATTTCTGACTGAATGACATATATCCACATCATGAATACTGAGCAACAGAAAACTGGGTTTCTTTAAAATAAAGATGTTTCTCATTACATTTTGATTTTAAGGTAGGCAGTCTGACATAATTTCAAAGTTCATTCTTGGATCACTGGTTATTTGCCTTATCTTTTCACGTTGTTAAATTCTTAGTGAATGAAGTAGGTGTCTGACCCTGGAGTCTGATCTAGTGTAATTGACATTCCAGCAGATCGTCACAACAGCGTAGGGTATTGTTGTTATATTTATTGTAACTTCAATTTCACAGACAAGGATGCCGAGAACCAGGAAGCAAACGCCTTGCCCTGCATCATACAGCTAGTTTGTGGGGCAGCTTCTCTTTTCCCTGCGTCTGTAGCCTCTGGTCTTTTCCCTGCACAAGGCTGCATCCCCACTTCCAGCAACGCTGCTTTGCTCAGGATGCACTACTTCAGAGATGTTTTATTAGCTCAAAATATTCCCAGTGATTAGCTCTCCTAGGGGACCTCTGTTTTATTTTCAGGTGAAGGGGCCATAATGAACAGTTCTCCACTAGCCTGGGTACTAGCCTGAGTCATATAAATCCCACGGGCAGTGTTTAATTTGTGGGGAATGTTCAGTTGCCATTTCCTGTGGAGAAAGCGTCACTGCCATCCGTTTTCTATGCCTGATTCTGCCCCCAGCCCTTCCTCTGACAGCAGGAGAGAGAATTGGGTGGAGGACGTCTGTGTGTGTGAGGTACACGCTGGTCATTCAGAAGCTTAAATTACAGTAGCTCAATTCGGGAAAGAAACATAAGAATCCTGGTAGACCTTTCTCCAGGTCAGTGAGCCTGTCCACTTACACGAAACCGGGCTCAGTGCATCGGTGACCTCACGGGACAGAGAAGTAGTCACACCTTTGCACTTGGTGTGTGTTTGGAGTGTGCACACTACACACCGGAACTCCTCTTTCTGTTGTCACTGTTTGGGGTGCTTTTTTAGATGGTAGGTAAACGCATCCTTGGCCTAATACTTTCTTAGGGAATGCTACACAAAGCCCTTGTGGTAGGTACAGCATCCATCTCTTCCAACGTTACCTGACGAGAAGAGACGCAGCCCAGAAATTCCGCTTTGATATGTTCTGGAGGATCATGACAACATAAAGTACTATGTTCTTTCCCAGTTCGGTGCTGTCACCCTTGCTGTACAAGACTGTCACAATTTCTATGCTAGAGTGACCAAAGTGTAACTGAATGGAAAAATAAAGCCAGCAAAGCCATAGGAGGATGTCTTATTGATCAGGAAATTTGAGTAGAATTCTCTTGGTTTTTAGCCAGACTGCTGTATTTTAAAAATAGCAAATGTCAACAGAAAAATGCGCCTTCTGTGTGCTCTGTGCAGCACAGGGGCCATCCCTGACTGGTTTCTATTCCTGCTCTACCTTCATCAGAGGGCACCAGGGTGACCAGGTGAAAAATGCAGAAAAATTGGGGGGGGGGCAGGGCTGGCTTTTGCATGAAAACACAGACAGAAAAGCACTTTTGCTGTCTTTTGACCTCTGATGAACTCAAATTTATGTGGAAGTATTCATAACTTAAGGTGAGCGGTTGAGTTCTTATCCAAAGGCCTTTGCTTGTTTCTCAGGCGAGACCCAGGCATGTTGCTTAATGCTGAGGACTACTACAATCTGCTGGTGTGTTTCCTGCCTGCCAGGCTGCCAGGACTGTGTTTTGCTCGAGTGCTCTGAGACAATCAGACAAGCCGTAGTGCTCATTGTCAACATATTAATTATGTTCTGTTTCCACAGGCTTTTCAGGAGGATTGAATCACTTTGAGTTCATTGGCCTATTTTGAAAATGCTTTTAGCATCTTTACTGGTGATGTCTTCACAACGCACCCGTCCCCTGCCCCCAAATGGTGTCCTCTAAGAGTGCTGGTATCCTGCAGGATGGGCAAGGATTGGGGTGGGAGGGGCTTAAAAGAAAACAAGTCAGTGCTTGCTACAAGGGCTGGTACAATTGGCTTCTTGGAGAGGAATGATTTCCTAACGGAGAGCATCGAGGATTTGTTTCACAGGTTGCAGTGTCTCACTGCCATTCCAGCCTTACCATCCTGTTTCTCACTTGAGGGAGTCTTTTGAGTTTCAAGCTCTGCCATGGTTTGCTACATTTGGCTGCGTGGATGCTGGGTGCTCAGCGTGGCCTGGAGGGGGCACTGGGGCGAGAATAAGCAGTTCTCAGCAGCCCAAGTGGCTCGACTCCTCCTTCTTCCCCTACCCCTCCTTCCCTCTCTTCTGGGAGGGTCAACGTGGGCGGTATCCCCAATTCTTTCCTGACATTCCGCTTTCCAAGTGGCTCGACTCCTCCTTCTTCCCCTACCCCTCCTTCCTCTCTTCTGGGAGGGTCAACGTGGGCGGTATCCCCAATTCTTTCCTGACATTCCGCTTTCCATACCTATTCTTTATTCAGCCCATGGAAAAGCAGCTGTAATAATCGTAGGTGGCAAGGTATTGTAGACCTGAGCCAACAGCCATCAGCTGCTGGCTGGACTGTCCCCTGGTAAACAATGGTGGTGGCCCCTGTGCCTCCTGAGCTACAGCTGGGACCCTGTGGAGACCATTTCCATTATTCAGAGGGAAATGAGGTGGATTATTCATAAACTACAAAAGACAATAGATTCTGCCTGCAACTCCCAGAAGATGGAAGTGTCGCAGCAGTAGCCAGATGACTGCTCCTACTGTCCAAATTGTTCTATTCAAAGAGGAGTTGTTAAAATAGAAATAGTTATTGATTTGGGGTTGTTTAAAAGAGGTTAAGATTTGGATACCATTATCAACATGATCAAAAGTTTTCATCACTCATACTAAGAAACCATGGATTCGGTTTTTACTTTATATTTCTGGATAAAACTGTGCTCTTAGAGGTTTTTATTGAAACATTTAATTTTAATCTTGGTTTACTGTAGTGCACACATGGTCACTCTGTTATCTGTGGGCAGAGGGGAGTAGTTGGATAGCTTACACTTCTTCAAGATTTCATTTTATATAAAAAAATTTGAAAAATATGTTTAATTAAAACTAATGAGAAGTGATTTTCTTTTTAATGAGAAAATGATCTAACACTTATGTATCCAACAGACCGGAAGTTAATTCAGTATAAAACTGTTCATTTTAAGGATAGCTTTTTAAAGAATTAATTTCTGTAAACAAAAAGACAACATTAATTTTTCACTTTTATTTACTATCTCTGAATTATATCTGCCAGAAACATTATATATTCTGCTTGGTTTGGTTTTCTTAAACATTCAAATGACAGACACCTTTAAGGTTCTGGAATACAGTGTTTTTCTAGACAAGAGCATCAGAAAATTAATGTTATGTTAGTTTTGAGAATCACTATTCGTCATGACCCTAATTTGAGTAATCAGTTTTTTGCTTTTCAAATGGCTGCTGCCAGCTTACATGGTTTATAATTTGCTTTCCTTGTAATTTTTTTTGCTGAACCCCAAAATTGATTTTTTCCAGGCTTTATGAAAGAGTTGAAACACTAGCCTTGGTCCTATCTCTGCAACAGACTAGTGGTGGAAATCTCAATTTTTTCATTTGTAAAATGGGTATATTAATATCTTTGCTGCACATAGCAATGTTTTCCTGAGGCCTAATTGATGTAATGGATATACTTGTACATTGACAATTTTCAAGCTCTAAATGTTAGGCTGCTTTTATTAGTTTATGCTGATAGCGGGCTTTTAAAAGTACAATTGAAGGTCTGTTATAGTTTGTCCTGGTTGTGGCAGATAATTTGTAGTGTTTACTGAAAAGAGCATTGCATTTGGAAGCAGACAGCCCTGGGTTTGTAGCCTGGTTTCCATTTACTGGCTGTGAGGCTAGTGAAGCATTAATCTGCTGCAGTTGGGTTTCCTTATCTATAAGATGGGGTAATATGTTCTTGACAGGGTTATTATAGGGTTAGTATTGAGGGTAAAGTGCTTAATAAAGATGTGTTATGTTCTATAGATTTAGATAAAATATGAGTTATAAAAGCAGTTATTCAAGTACATGCAATTATGGTCTCTCCCTAATTTTCTTTTCAGTGCAACTAATGTTTGTGATTATTTATGCCAAAAAATATTAGCTGTTTACATCTGGCCTGCTCAGTGGTTTGGAGATGTGGGTGCAACTAGCCCTTAAACTTTTTTTTCTTTTTTTGTCTATATAACATCTATTATTTAACACTAGGGTAGATGAGGGCCATACTGTTGCAAAGTCTGAAGAACTAGAGAACATTTTTCTAACTGGAAGCTGTACCTTACATCTTCTTATGGCTATATTATATTAGTATTATAAAAACTTGTTTGAGTTACAGGTAATTGTAAGTATTAATGACTTTAGTTTTTATAGACAAGCTGTCAGATGGAAAATCAGTCACAAACAATTTCTTAGATGAACAGAATGGCCAGTTACTGTATATTTGTGTGTGTTTGTGTGTGTGTGTGTATTTAGTAGTACACATATAGTGATTATTACTTGTATCAAAATATTTTTATTAATTACCTAGTGAAACAATTACCTTTTGACTATACTCAGAAACAAGCATTTGAGATTAGGCTTTTTCTCATAAGATTCATGGATAGGACATGAGTGAAACTTGACCTTGATTTTTGAAGATTTAGGACTAACTTTCTACTTGCTTTGTTTTATTTTGTTTGGCAGCTTTTTGGCATGGGGGTCTTGAACCCATGACCTTGGTGTTATCAGCACCAGGCTCTAACCAAATGAGCTTACCTGCCAGCCCTAACTTTCTACTTTTTATCAGAAAAATGACGACCACAAAGCCTGTTCAGCTAGTGGTCTACTGTTGTGTTCCTCCAGCATGGGTTGGGAGGGGGCACAGCTCCCCCACTTGGTGTCATCAAAGCCTTGGTGTGGGGACCTGGGCATCGGTGACAACCTCCTTTTTTCTGAAGGTTGGCAAGCCCCTTCCTGAAGGAGTTGTGTTTGCCGGTCCCCTAAAGAGCCCACCCTGCCCGTTCTATTCCTGTGTGTTCAAGTGACCAGCTTTTATGCTTGGTTCAGTAACTCCCTGTCCCAGTAGATTTTCCTGCCAGGAACAAGATTTATAGGGAGAGATCTCCTTGAAGGAAAAAAGAAGTGAAACTTCGTTATACTTTACAACATTTTCAATGTTAAAATTGACCTTTCTTTTTTTTTTTTTTTTCTGTCCTTTTTTGAGACCTGCCGCACCGCACTCAGCCAGTGGGCACTCTGAACGCACCAGTCATCCCTATATAGGATCCGAACCCGCGGCGGGAGCGCCACTGTGCTCCCAGCGCCGCACTCTCCCGAGTGTGCCATGGGCTCGGCCCAAAATTGACCTTTCTTTTTTTTTTTTTCCTGTCCTTTTTTGAGACCTGCCGCACCGCACTCAGCCAGTGGGCACTCTGAACGCACCAGTCATCCCTATATAGGATCCGAACCCGCGGCGGGAGCGCCACTGTGCTCCCAGCGCCGCACTCTCCCGAGTGTGCCATGGGCTCGGCCCAAAATTGACCTTTCTTAAGACACATTAAGGCTGGCTGGTTAGCTCAGATGGTTAGAGCGTGGTGCTAATAACACCAAGGTCCAGGGTTCAATCCCTATACCAGCCAGTGGTCAAAACCAAATCAAAACAAACAAATAGAAAGGACACAGTAGAACATATACATTTTTAATGATGTTTTTATCATTAGTGTAAGAATTGTGTAAGAACACTTAGAAGCCAAGTAGAAAAACATTTTATTCATTTGACTACCAGGAAGTTGGTGAAGTTTTCTTCTTTAACATCTGTTCTCCTGGGAAGTCAATTGGAACAGGCTCCGTTTGGAGCCATGGCCACTTGTGAAGGTCATTCTCCTAACTGGGAAGTGTGAACACAGTGGAGAGAACCGACGAGCTGGATTTGGGGAACGAGCTGACATATTTGTGCTCTTTTCCATTTCATATGGGAAATTGCTGCATACAGCTGAGGCTGGCTGGAGAACCGTCTGCACTCCATTTTGCGCCAACCTGTATTTTTCCACAAGGATTCCCAGTTCATTTATTCTTCTTGTTCGTAATTTTGTCCAGGATAAAGTAATCTTCAGGAGATTTCTTTCTGTTCAGTCTCTTGTCTACCTGAAGCTCTAAGGTCGGTAAACGCTTGTTCTTTATTGTAAGTAAATCCCTGGTTTTAAGGACAAGTGCAGGATTAGCAGGAGTGGCCGGAATCCAGAAACAAACTGCATAGCAGGAAGAGAGCTGACAACTTACGAAGAGTACTTTTCCTTGAGCCTCGGTATTAACTGAACAAAATAAATGGGAATGGCCGAGTGCATTCTGCTCTGGAGGCCTTTAAACCATCCATTATCACACTAATCAAGAAAATTCCTGGACTGCTTCCCTCAATCTCCCTCCTTCCAAATGGCTCCTCATTAAAATCTTCTTTAACACTTCAGTAGAGTGTATGTCTCTATACCTACAGCTACATGTATGGTTTAGGGAAGAAGTCAGACAATGAACAGGAAAAACACACAAATAGTATTAGATGGCCACAAGAGGTGGGAGGAAAACCGAGCAAGCGAGAGACTAGAGGCAGTGGGGTGGAGGGTGCTCAGGGAAGACCTTACTGACTGTGAGTTGTGTGACTGGATACGCTCCACAGAGATCTGGGGAGGAGCACTTTCAGGAGAGGGAAGAACCCTTGAGGCCCTGAGCTGTTGAGGCCAGCTGTGGGGGTGGGGAGGGGGTAGTGCATGGAGGCACCAGGAGGACTTGCGTTTTCTTGGCATCATCAGAAGCCCCTGGAGGGCTTGAGTAGGGGCTGAGGTGATCCAGTTTACATATTAAAGGATAACTCTGCTAAATGGGGAATAGACCCTGGGAGGATTAGAGGGCTCAAAGGGAAGCCGGGAGCCCCATATGTCTGTGCTTACGTCTCTGTGCAGCTGCCCCCCGCCCCTAGGGGTGGAGGCTTGGACTAGGGAGCGGGTACTGGAGCCCTGGGCAAGAGAACAGCCCCAGTTGATGGATTGGCTGTGGCATGGGAGGGAAAGAAGAGGGAGCCGGGGATGACTCCTTGAGTTTTCCTGTATCCAGAGTGTCTGAATGCTGATGGGAAAGAAGGATGAGATGTGGGAATGTCTGAAAGAAGGATGGAGATGTGGGAAATAAAGGATAGGTGAATGGAAAAAGGCAAACCCAGTGTGTGTTTGGAATAATGGAAAACGTTTCATTTTTCGACAGAGTTGCTTAGTCAATGTTGGGATTTGTATTGTGGAACAATTTTAGGGACATTTTCAGGTATGTATAATTGCAGGGCAATTAGCAGTTATCCCATGAAAGTTTATGTTCTTTGCAGGTAGGGTCTGTCTGATTTATCTTACTGCCTAGATTGTGCCTTAGAGATACAGGTTTAGGTCAATGTTTGGCTTGAATCCAAAGGTTTAATTATCTGTAGAGTAGATTTCGTTTAAGGTATGTAAGGGGATATCGGTAGTGGAATAAGTTCCTAGAGGCTGCAACAATTAGTCCAGGCTGGTTTCTAGTTTCTGGATCTATAAGATTTGAACAGGCATTTGGTTGTATTATCTCATGTGAGAATTTCCAGAGGTCCTTCTGCTGTATCACATGGGCCACAGGCCGATGGGTACAGGTGCAAGTATTTGGTATTTAGTATTGAGGAGTGGCGGGATGGAAGAAAGAGATGCCTTCTTTTTTTTATGGGCTTGGTTTCTACATCTGCTCTGTCTGGTTTGCATAGGATGAGTTAGATGAGCTCCGTGCTGAGATGGAAGAGATGAGAGACAGTTACTTGGAGGAAGATGTTTACCAGCTGCAGGAGCTTCGGCGAGAACTGGACCGTGCTAATAAAAACTGCCGAATCCTGCAGTATCGCCTCAGGAAAGCCGAGCAGAAGAGCCTGAAAGTTGCGGAGACGGGTCAGGTGGATGGTGAGCTTATCAGAAGCCTGGAGCAGGACTTGAAGGTGAGTGAGGGGGTAGACTATGGCATGTGCATTCCCAGGAGGGCTGCCATGGACGGGGTTGCTGATCTGAAAACATAACCCCAGACCCTGCTCCCCGCTGTACATAGTGTCTTGATGTTCCTTTCCTGCTTATATCTGTCTCAGATTTCAGCATAAACATTCTTGGTTTACTTTTTGGCTTATAGAATATGTGTAGTCATATGACTTTGGCCCAAGATTGAAATCTGTTAAAAAAATCATATGGAGGGCTGGCCCGGTGGCGCAATGCTATAGTGCGCCGCTTGGGAAGCGCGGCGGCGCTCCCGCCGAGGGTTCGGATCCCACATACAGACCGGTTCCCGCTCACTGGCTGAGCGAGGTGTGGGAGCAACACCGAGGGTTGCGATCCCGTTGCTGGTCCCGGTCCGGTACGGGGGCGACACTGAGGGTTGCGATCCGTTGCCGGACATAGAAAAAGGAAGAAAAAAAAAATCATATGGATTTCAAATAAGAAAGAATTGATATCTACCAATTGGTCTAACAATTAGATAGAAATTGTGCAGAAACTTCTAAAGATCTGAAATATGTTTTAAAAAATCTATTAAAATCAATTCAACCAAGGACCACTCTTAATATTGGAAGGTAATTTAGGTTTCTAGGATGCAAAAAACCTGAAATTCTCATAACCTAAGTGAGACTCGCGTAGTGGTGATTTAATTGGAAGAGAAATAGGATAGTAATTAATTATCTAAAGTGTCTTTGAGAACCATTGGCAGAAATTGGAATGAGATGGAAAAATCCCAGACTTTATACCACTTATTCTCTCCACGGGCAGCAAAGCTTCTCACGTGACCTGATTGTCAAATCATTTATCTAGAGGTGAATTATGCACAGTGTTCTCCTTATTATGGGAGTACTTGTAAAATCTCCTCTAGCCTCTCTGTATGATAGCAAGAAAAGAATCTTTGTAATTCTGTCAAAGTTATGAAACACTAACAAAATGTCATTTGAGGTGATAAAGGGTGACATATTTCTCTAACAAAGTCTTTCCTTGCTTGCTTTTAGAAAGTACAAATGTTTAGCTGCTTTGAACATTCAAACATTTACCGCACTAGAGAGCCACAGGAGGCAGTCAAAAACTTAACTACACTGAACATCTACTGCATTTCTGCATACAGAATTATTCTGGTTTTGTTTTTTGGTTTTTTTTTTAGCCGGCAGGTTCCCTATTACTTTAGGGAACAGAAATGTTTATTTGTTTATTATTATTTTTTTAAATTTATCACTTGAAGCATGTGAGCCTGGGCAGAATGGGCATTCTCGGTGATATTCTATGAGGGTGTAGGACTATCCAAAGTGGCCTTTTATTCCAGATGAAAGTCATATTCTCTCTCATAATATTGATTTCATGTTTGAAACTAATATCCTCCGCCTTTAAACATAGGTCTATTAAATATTGCCAGGGTCTTTGCTACTTGGTATAATACCATATTATTTAATGATTCTGCTTCTGAAGTTGTCTGAATATACCCTTCGTACACAAAAACCTTCCCATCCTGATGATTACTCTGGGTTGATGCAGGTAGCCAAAGATGTATCTGTCAGATTGCACCATGAACTTGAGACGGTGGAGGAAAAGCGTGCTAAAGCTGAAGAGGAAAACGAAACTCTCCGACAGCAGATGATTGAAGTGGAAATATCCAAACAGGCCCTGCAGAATGAGCTGGAGAGGCTGAAGGAGGTAATCCAGAAATGTGTGGGCATTTTCCCCTTGGGTTTAATCATTAGGAACTCGGGACTCCCAAAGTGCCCCATTCCTGTCGTGGTCGGAAGCAGGGGTTGGTGAACCCTGGCCTGTTTGTTTGGCTCAGGAGCTAAGAATGGTTTTTTACATTTTTTCCAGCATTGGAAACAAATAAACAAAACCACACAAAAGAAACCCCCCAAAAGCAAAGAAGACTACAGAATGAAGAGTGAATGTTGCTTGCAAACCCTAAAATATTTACTGTTTGACCCTTTACAGAAAAGGCTGTTGAGCCATGGTCTAAAGCTATGTTTTATATTTTCCATTCAGATGAGCTGGCCATTAAGTCCTTTGATGTGTCCAAATGGGGTATATTATTGCTAGGATACAGAATTAAGCAGTTGCTTTTTTCTCGAGTCTTCTCTTCCAATGAGCTGGAAAGTATGTTATGGTTGTCTATGAAAGCCGTATAGATAATGTATGTATGCTACCTATATATAATCACCAGTCAATATGATTTAAATACAGACTTTTTTTAATTTTAGGAAGTGATTATTCTAGCAAAGTGGTTTAGAAAGTGAATATATGTGTTTTTTCATTTGCATATAGCAATGCAAATCCTGTTTTATTGTTGACTTTCATTATAAGATTAAAGCTGAGTGTTTTCTTGGAAAACATCCTGCATAGTGATAAAATTAAAAACTGTTGGTGGCTTGAAGATGCTAGTTAAAGCCGGCATTTTACCTGCTGACAGCCTCACTTAGCAGTTGATACTTTCTTTGGACGCGTTTCCTGATTCACCCAGCCGTGCCCCATCCGTCCAGCCATCCACTTGGTACAGGCGTGCCAGGCCCTGCAGACGGGGAAGCAAAGATGGCCAAGCAGTAAGAGCTGCTGCCTCTGATCCTCCCCACTCCCTCTGCTTACAGCCACGCACAGCCACCTGGAAATGCTGTGTGCTTTGTTTCTTTGTCTTCCGTCCATCACCTCTCACTAATGCACCTCTGCAGGGTGAGCTTTGCAGGACAGGGGTTTTGCCTGTCTGCATCCCTGAGCCTGGAACGGTGCCTGACACATACCAAGGTGGGGAAGGCATGAAGGGGTGAGAAGACAGAGCTGTGGGGATCAGAGCTTGCCCAGGGGGCGTGGCGGGCTTTGCACAGGAAGAGTGTGCTTGTGAGAACTTGATTTTGTCATTGGTAACCCTTGTCCCTCAGCTTACACACCAAAGGAACTTGCCCTCTAATTGAAGATCTCTTGCCTCTGCACTAACAGTTCCCGGCACTTTATGCCCCAGCTTTTCCCTGGATCTAAGTTTTTGCAAAGGTGGGGCATAATGGTTCCCTTTCTCACAATTTCCATGTGAGCCTGACGTTGGGGGTAGAGAAAACAATTTAGAAGTATAGTTTAGAAAATTTGATATGTATGTATGTTCGTGTGTAAATATATAAATGGACATATAAAGTACATATATATATGTTTTTTAAGCAAGCGAAGATTCTTTTATTTATTTAAGTGGATTTGTGTAGGACTTGGCATCTCTGTGGAGGAAGAAATGATTACTCTTGACATTCAAAGCCAGGCCAGGACCTCCAGAGAGCCTGCTCTTGGCTCAGGGTGGGTGTGAGGACAGAAGGCAGAGGGACCAGCCCCTCCCTTTGTGGGTTAAAATTACCCGGCGGGACTGCTCAGTTGGGATGAAATAAGTTTTTCACCTTCAGAGTTGCAGTCAGACTGGTGGGACCACATATTTGCACCAGACTTCTAAATGAATCGTAAAACTGGCAGGAGCCTCCGGAGGGCCAGACGCTGGAAGATTATGCTGCAAGCAGGGAACGGCGGCACCTAGCAATGCAAGGTTCAAAGGTGGTAAAGGAGGCATTGACTGGGAAATGCCAGCTATTGTCCCCGTGACTGGGTTCTTCTCACAAAAGCTAGAACAAATGCGCTGTGAGTTTTGCTTCAGCGTGGGGTATTCCCGTCCTGACCCTTGCTCTTTGTTGCTCACCTCTGAAGTGTGTAAGTGGATGTGCGACGTCCGAGAAAGGCAAGGACGTCTGTGTGTTGTGTGTGTCTCTGAATAACACGTCATTCCAGATGTACGTGCACCCCCTCGGCCACAGAGGTCAGGAGACAAAACACCTCGATGGCTCTTCCTCTCCCTTCCCCAGGGCTTCTCTCTCCGGCTCCGTCTCAGCTGCCTGGTGCACGTCCCCAGGATGAATCTTTCCCAGCACGTCAGACTCACTGTGTGGCCACAGAGGTCAGGAGACAAAACACCTCGATGGCTCTTCCTCTCCCTTCCCCAGGGCTTCTCTCTCCGGCTCCCTGTCTCAGCTGCCTGGTGCACGTCCCCAGGATGAATCTTTCCCAGCACGTCAGACTCACTGTGTCCAGAACAAACTTACCAGCCCTCTCCCCACCTGCACTGCCTTCTGTCTCCATGTGATGGTCCCACCGTCCTTTTAGTCACAAAGTCTGGGGAAGGCACTTTTATTAACTCTCTTGCTCCTCATCTTCAGTCGCTGGCTAAGTGCTTTAAGTAATTCTCTTTTGCAGTCTTAAAAATGTTCTTCCTCAGTGTTACGTGATGCAACATGGATGAACCTTGAAAACATGCTAACTAAAAGAAGCCAGACGTATTCTGTGACTCTATTTACAGGAAGTATCCAGAATAGATAAATTCATACAGACAGAACAGATTAGTTGTTTCTAGGGGCTGGGGAGACGGGAATAGGGGCCCTGCTGTTTAATGGGTGCAGGGTTCCGTTTTGGGGTGCTGAAAATGTTTGGGAACTAGATGGAAGTGGTGGTTGCACAAAGTTGTGAATGTACTAAATGACCCTGAATTGTATACATGAGAATGGTTAATTCGTGTAATGTGAATTTTAACCTCAATGAAAAAGTTTTCCTTTATTCTATCCATACTTTCACCAGTCCCCCTCAAACAAATATTTGAGGGTCAACAATGCATTAAACTAGGCACTGTTTCTAGCCTTTCCCGTTTCTATTCTTTCCTCTACATCCTGAAATTCTGACCATGTCACTCTGTTTAAACAAGCTAACTTGCGTTGTCCTCCAATTGTCTAACTCTAGGATGACACAGAGGACTTTACTACCTGGCCCATCCCTGTCTCTCTTCTGGGTTTCCTACCCCGGGGCTGTAAACTCTGGATGAAATGAAAGAACAGTTCAGAAGCATAACAAGGGTCTGTGCCTTGGGCCCTCTTTGAACTAATGCAGGTGTGTCTTGGAAAAGTCACTAAAGAGGACTGTCCTGTCTAGAATTGCCCCTTCTGGCTGGCAGCCTGCTCACTTCCTGTGCCTGTTCACTGTGTGTACACCATGCATACCCCTCCACTGTGCAAGCTCAAACAATTTTGCCTTTTTGGGGGGGAGGGGTGTCTATTTCTTCTAGTATTCAACTCCGTATAGAATGGAATATTCCAAAAGGTTGAAAGTGGTTAACCTTAGCTTAGCTTCCACTTCTTAAAGATTGCTCAAATGCTTTCACTCGGCAATATTTTATTCTACCCCACAAGTAATAATCAGCCAAGTTAGCCGACACTTGCAAGGGACAGAGACATGGTATAGATCACTCCAGTGAATTAGGGCTGTTGAAAGGAGTGACAGGGAACCAACTGGCAGTCAGATGGCTCTTGTGGGATGCCTTTCATCAGCTTTCAGGATATGATAATGGTTCTCTGGGTTTGGTTGAGACTTTTTTGTGCCTAGTAAATGGTCAGATTTTGTAAATGTTCCTTGTGTGCCTGAGGAGAATGTGCATGCTGCAATTTTCAGTCAAAGGCTTTCATTTAAATCCATTAGATGAAAGACTTTCAAACTTTAACTGTAACCCACAGCAAGAAGTACATTATTCATCATCAGTCAATAAACAAATAAAAAGGTTTTACAGAGTAATGCTTATTTTTGTCACAGGGGGTACACTTTGAAATTTTCAATTCTATTCAGTTTTATTTATTTTTTAATGGTGCTTGTAAGGTTGATTTATAGTTCATTAGTGGATTGCTGCAATTTTGAAAAATGTATCAGGTCATTTGTTAATTGTGGTGTTCAGATTTTCTTTATCATATATAGTTTTGTTTGTCACACTATAATTGTGCATTTTAGTTTTCTTCTTGTAATTTGTGAAATTTTGCTTTATATATTTTGAGGCTATATTTTTAAATGCAAACAAGATTTAGGACTGTTCTTTGTGATGAATTTTTCCCTATATCATTTGGTAATGACCTCTTTATTCTAATTTATTGCTTTTTGCTATAAAGTCTACTTTGTCTGCTTTTATCATCTATACCAAATTTCTTTTGGTTAGTATTTGTCTGGGATAGCTTTTCTGTGATTTCTTTAGTTTCTATTTTTCTGTGTCATTATGTTTTATGTATATTTCTTATGAACAGAATATACTTAAATTTTTAAAAATGGAATCAGAATTTCTTTCTATTTATTTATTTATTTATATTTTATTTTTAAAAGAAAATGTAATTTTATTAATATTTTTTACATTCTAGGATGTTGTTGCAGAGGAATTGGGAAGGAGGGGAAGTGGAAAGGGGAAGGAAATGGATGGAAAGAGGAAGGAGGAGGGGTGGGATTGAGGCCCGTGGCACCCCCTGATTCCCACAGGGGAGACAAGGGGTCTTCTAGCGGTGGCTTGATCATTGCCAGCCTAAGGAGGGGAAGTGGAAAGGGGAAGGAAATGGATGGAAAGAGGAAGGAGGAGGGGTGGGATTGAGGCCCGTGGCACCCCTGATTCCCACAGGGGAGACAAGGGGTCTTCTAGCGGTGGCTTGATCATTGCCAGCCTAGGTGCAGATGTCAGAGGGGTGTGGCAAAAGCCCTCGCTCCCCACCATCCCAGCTCGGGAACCTGGGGCCCTTCTTGCTGTGGGTTGGCAGTTGTCTCTGGGCTGGCTGTGGGTGTTCGGGGGGCGTGGCCGAGGCCCTTGGCCACCCACCACCCCAGCTCAGGAGAGCCCA